CCATCCTACTGGGCCCATTTGCTCAAAACTGGTCAACTTTAACCTTGGTAGAAAGTTAACCACTCTTCTCTGCTAAGTACATACAGTACCTTCGTATATTATTGGGTGGTAACTCGTATTGCCTACTGGCTGTAGCAAATATAAGTGGCTTTCATGGAAAACTTTCTGAAAGGGGGTGACCCGAATATGCGCGCTGCCAGGTTTACGCGATGCAGCATGGCTTAGATTTGAGATTGAGAAGCACTTTTTTTTACTCATGGCACAAATAATGGTTAAGGTAAAACCAGATCGACCAGTGTTGGGCAAAATATTCAATTTGTTTGTCCGAAGTCAAAACAAGCCTTGTTGAAGTTTCCTTTCCATTACGAAAGAGGACGATGAAGTTATGTGCTATAAACGATGAAAATGAGGTGAGCATTGAAAGGCGGGCAGTACACGACAGCATGGTTTGCCAGCCTGTAAGAACTCTACATAAAACCTTCCTCTTGAAATTAAAATTGCATGCTTCCGCTCCAGTGGAATTTGGTACGCGGTCTGCTTCTGCGTGCCATCAATGCCCGGCCAATCGAGTTAAGACAATCCACTAGGATTCCAAAGACGTTGCCATGTCGGCAATTACTGCATCCCTTTAGGCTTAGGAATGGCTAGAATTGAAAGATGATCTAGGAAGTTGAGTGTGATCAATGCTCATACTTTGCAATTTAACTGAGGTAAGGCAAAGCAAGAGCCTCCTGCACCGTTCATTGTTGAGAAACATGCCCGATAGCGCAGCGACTATGACATATTCGTTCCAAGGTGAGCGACACTCTCTGGGAGGGGCACTGCCATGTTTCCCCGCTGTCCCTGGTCTGCCGGTCATGTGACCTACAATTCCCCCTCGTAGCGAAATGCGGATAACTTTCTGCTAGGGTTAAAGTTAACCAGCTTCGAGGAAATGGGCCCTGGAAACCAGAACTATATCCTGAGGAAGAAATTACACATTTTTTATCTCTGCCCTTTAATTGCATCTTTGTCATGGCTTCAACTTTCGGTTCGTGCCTCAGCAGTACTGATTACACCTTTTTTGGTTCCAATCAATGCTAGATGCAGTGGCATCATCCAGTATTAGTGACGGGATATCTTGTCACTGTTGCGTAAAGGGTCTAATACCCTACCACACAGTAAAATTTAACATTGGTTCAATTTGACTGACTTTATCTGATCGGACAACCAATGCACGCCACTCCTCGCACAGCGCGGTGCACGGGCGATGCTCATAGTGAGTATCATGAGCTGATTTGCTGATCACTTAATGTCAATTGATAGAACTGACGTTAAATTTGACTGTGTGGCATTAGTATAAAGGTAGCTTTGCAAGTCTTGCAGTTCTACCAGTAGTTCACAAGATGACAGACTAGTCCTCTTCTTAAATTTGCCAAGTCTATACACTCCGTGCGACGTGACTGGCGCGCCGTTGCGCAGCCGGTATTAAAGGTAGGCAGTGAGAACCCCAGAGAGAACTGAACCGAAACCATGCTGCTTACGTTGGTACGCATTGAAGTCGGAGTGGTGCTGTTGCACTGGGTTCATAGCATGAAGTGCTGCCTGTGCTGCGTCATTAAGTGCTTCAATAGTTATGCGTCGTATCTCGTGGGGACAAAGTTTCACAGTTCTTCACCCCGCCGATGTTTTGTGGGACAGCGCCAACGGTGGACCCGTGCCGTACGACGCGAGAAATTTGGTCTCCCGATCATGTCTGCCACTGTGTTGGCATGGCTGACATATTGTACACTGCCGCTTTGTGCTCTAAGTTTGTTTTCTTACCAGTTATGCCTACATGTGTTAGCACCGATAGGACAAACTGAAATGCCATCCCACACTCGCGGGTATGCAGTGCCAATTTCGTTGGAGGAATGCCCTCCAAAGAAGTTTCGTCCCCATCGTACGTGTCAATAATATTTCCGGACAAGTATGGCTCGCAATCTGTACTTCGTGAAGAAAGATTCGAACGGTAAAAAAAAGTGACAAATATGAATCTAAGGAAAAGTACAATGAAACTCGGAATCACTGGAGAATCGATGTTTGAGTATGGAAGCTTATGTGGTGTGCTTTCTTTCTTGATCAGCCTCCTTTTGGATGTGGAAATGCTGACACCCCGAGTTCTGTAGGCAACATTTTTTTTTCCTCGGCTTTAAGGCCACCTATCACAAAGTGGTTCTAACTGGAAGTACCGTCCACTGGTCCCTTCCCACCTGTAAAGTGTGCACCTCCCACGATGAGTGGTATTATCTTGACAGCCTTTGACAGGGTCAAAACCAGTTTCCATTTACCGTAATATCCCGAGTCATCGCCCACCCCCCTACCGCCTGAAATTCGTTAAAAAAGTGGGGTGGGCCATGTCTCGGTGGGTGAGCACAAACACTTAAAAAAAAGCCGAAAAAAACCGCCTATTTTTCTCTGCGTATCTAGCGCTGATGCACAAGAGATACATCAAACTCAAAACTCGATTTAGTTTCATTGTTTTATAGAAAAAAATGCTCACGAAAGAATATTTTACTATAGCGAAGTCCGTTGCTTGCGTACGCGCTAGAAACACCGCCGATCTGCATATAGCGCGAACGTTTGTTCCGTGAAAGAATGTCACCATTATGTTCTCCTAGTTAGTAAAAAAAAAAAAAAAAAGAAAAGCCTGCAAGAAAATAGAAAAACCGACCAGGCGCAACGAGCGAGCGGACCAAAGAAGCGACCAAGAGCAATGCTGGGAAAGCGGGAAAGCCGGCGGTCGCATTGGCAAATACTTTGCGTCGGGCCAAGTCGGGCGCCTTGTCAATTGCAAGCTCTTGCGCAACTTGTTTGGTGCGTACATACGTGCGTCCGTGCACGGCGGGCTATCAATGCACGGTTGGGACGCTCTGCAAACGTCTGTGTAGGACGTTCCAGCAAAGCTTTATTTACGCTTTGGCTTTGCCTTAAATATTGCACAACCGCGGTCGCGACGGGCGGGAAGAAGGAGCAGGTTCGCGGTGACCTTACTTCGGCGGAGACAGACTTTGACCTAACACTCCGCGGTTACGTTAACAAACTCTTATTTTGTTATCTCCATCGTTTTCTTTTCGCACGGATACACGACCACTTTGGGGTCGCTCACGGAGGAAATGCGTAAACAAAAAGAAGTGTCTTTTTCTCGTTCGTTTTACTTTGTCACGGACGTCCTCCAACTGTAAGGTCCGCGGCCGCGTCATTCGGGTAGGATGAGTGTTCGCGGATAGCAGAGTCCGCGCTGGCCGCGGTATTTGAAGGGGTGGGCGATGACTCGGTGTTTTTTTCGGAAATCGATATTGGCCCTAAAAAGGGGTGGGCGATGGCTCGGGGATGGGCGATGACTCGGGATATTACGGTAGTTGCGCCGCCCAAACTAAATTTCCACCTGGTTTCGCTATGCCACCTCTTTTTGGTATAATAAGTATTGTGTCAAGTTACGGTCATGTCAAAGCACCTGTGCGCCGAAAATTAGCACCTCGCACAACAGGTTATTACACAACAGCTGACCGCAAAAGCCCTTGAAAGCCAAACCATATGTTGGCCGACAAGTTTGTTTTCTCGACTTTGGAACCACCTTTCGTAAAGTTTTTTCAATTGGAAGTACAGTTCACTAGTCCCTTCCTACCTGTAAAGTCTCCACCTCCCACGACGAGTGGTATTCTCTTGACAGCCCTTTCATGGTCAAAACCGGTTCTCATTTAGTTGCGCTGCCCAAACTAAATTTCCACCTGGTTTCGCTATGCCACCTCTTTTAGGTATAATAAGTATTGTGTCAAGTTACGGTCATGTCAAAGCACCTGTGCGCCGAAAATCAGCACCTCGCACAACAGGTTATTACACAACAGCTGACCGCAAAAGCCCTTGACAGCCAAATCGTGTGTTGGCCGACAAGTTTGTTTTCTCGACTTTGGAACCACCTTTCGTAAAGTTGTTTCAATTGGAAGTACAGTTCACTAGTCCCTTCCTACCTGTAAAGTCTCCACCTCCCACGACGAGTGGTATTCTCTTGACAGCCCTTTCATGGTCAAAACCGGTTCCCATTGAGTTACGCTGCCAAAACCAATTTTCCACCTGGTTTCCCTATGCCACCTCTTTTTGGTATAATAAGTGGTGTGTCATGTTACTGTCAAGTCCCAGCACCTGTGTACCCAAATTTGCACTTTGCACAGCCTGCTATAATACAACATTTTGGGTCCAATGTTGGATATCCCGTACAGCTTTATTTCTTTGTTCGTTAGAAACATAATTTTCACACCTGCTGTCTTAATGAAACTTGGCACATTTCGTGCACAAACTTAGTGAACATCTCACTCGCCTCCAAATATCATCGTTCCAGCAGTCCTACGTTTACAGCGACGAGCGAAATAAATTTCCCACTCGGAGCAATTATGGTGGCGGCCGTCTTGCTTTTCGGAAAATTGCTCCAACTCCTTTTTTGGCCCCAACTAGAGAAATTGCTCTTAATAATGACTCAAACTCAATATGTAAGAAGTGGAAAACAGCTAAATGCCCTTCTGCCCCAGCCCTCATGCAACGTCACCCACAACGTATCGGCTCAAAAAGCAAAAGTTTTGTTCGTGCGCGCTTTCACCGCCACCGCTTGGCATGCGAAAAGGCGCCTCAGGCTGCTGAATGCGCCTCACTGTCGAACGCCAGCTCCTCCGCTAGTGGCGCTGCGTGCGTTTTTCAAAGCGCCCCCTATAGTTCCCGCACAGAGCATATTTTATTGGCATTAATTCTCGAGCTTTCATAGTAAACACCAAGTTAGTTTACATTTGTTCACTCCCTGAGGCATGAGACTTAATTCTTAACAGATACGAACGTCGGAGGTATGTCGCAGTTGCGACTGCTTGCTAGGGGATATTGTTGTAGCATGCCATGCCAAAACCTTGGACCCTGAGACAATGGACGTTATAGAATGACAATTTCTTAAGGGAATTCTTTGGGAAAAAGATGACTCCCAAAACTTTTTCGTTCAGTTTCAGGCTATACTCTCAGATGAGACAGCTGTTGAACAGGTACAGAAGAAAGGACCATTTCGGGCAAGAAAACCGAAGATGGCTCTTCTAAGTGAAGTTTGTGGCCGAGGTAAGTGTGCACAAGCAAAAATTCATACCCTTGATACTGCGTAATACTGTAGAGCCTTTGATGCATATTTAAACAAAACGCCGGTCAAAACATTCAATTTTATCCGGGAAGACATGTGATCCAAATAGAAATTCCCAGGCATTACAATGGAGCTAGAGGTAAGAATAAGACAGCTGATTTTAAGGTGGTAAATACAGTTGTATCTTTCTATTTGGCATGTAAGACACTGTCCTATTAGTTCATCTGTGCTAAACTCAACTGTAATAGCAGCATGTAGACGGATGCCAATCTGTATTTTGCTCCGGGTTTTTATTGACAACAGCTGGTATGTCCAGCCTCATGTTAAAGGTGCTCTGACACCCCTAAAGAAATAGCTTTTATTGCCCAAAACAATTAGAAACAATCCCCTGACTGAAAGCTGCGTTGCATGAAGTTCCAGTTTCCAGGCACAAAATGTAATTAATGATCAATATCAACTTCATACCTTAGCATCATGTTGCACAAGACGTTAGGGACCTCAGTTAACGTTAACTTCTTTTGACTAGAGATGGAAGTCGAAAACCCAAATCCCCTTTAGGCACTTTGGAAAACAGCTGTGGGCATCTCATTTTTGGTAGGTCTGCTCAATCCGCCAGCGAGAGTAGAATACTCTGATAAAATGCGTAGGGATGTGCGAATTCGGATTTTTCAGTTCGAAGCGAAAAGATTGTGGCCATCAATACAGTCATGGTGGAGAACCCTGGAGGCTAGGGTACAAAAAGGAAAGAAGGGCAGGCATGACAAGGTCTGAAGGGTTCTGTACCATGATTGTTCACCAGCTCCCTTGCACAATCACTCTTATTTCAATGCAGTCATGTTGCAATAAAATCCAACACTTTCGTTTCTCGGAAAAATCGTCCATAATGTGTATTGCCCATTCATTTCTCTTTTTTAAGTCTAAATTAAGGTATGTTTTGCAGCATTTCAAACATCTAAATACTTCGAAAATATTGTAGGTTGCCAAATAGCCCTATTCGCTTCAATAATCAAAAGTTTTGAACATTTGCACAACTGTAAACATGAGGAGTGAAAAATACTTTACATGTGGATTTCATCAATCGCCGTGACAACGATGATTGTCGTCTTGTAGTAATTACCGGACCGTCGTCAAATAATGAAGTACTTCGTAGTAGGGTTACCAACTCTTGAAAGAAAGAAGTCGGAAGGGGGAGGAGGAGGAGGCAGCGCGAGGGAGAAGAACGGAGACACCAAGGGGGTTTGTACAAATGATGATGATGATAGGCGCTTCCCAGCACCAGTGTCGCCCAGATTTCCGGCTTGTGGCTTGCATGCTAAAGTGGCTAAAGCCTCTCACAGCCAACGTTAGCCACCGCAGCATTGCTTCGTGCGATTCATTCTTCGCAGCAAGACGCATATTGTTGGGAGTGCATTGAATTACATATAAAATTTTTAACTGGGCGGTCTGGACCTAATTTCGGACATACTGCTGTCCTGACTGGGATGATGTGGGACTTGGGACGCTTAATGAAAAGTCGAGACAGTCCCACAAAATCCGGGACGGTTGTTAACCTTTCTTCGTCGACACAGACACACAGCAAATGTGGTGGTAAGTTACCATTGTTGCCGCTTCCACTGCGAGGACATGTTTGAATTCGAGCTTCAAGCCAGTGCTGCGGGCCAAATTGTGTGAGAACACAAGCAAAGCGACGCGGAACACGGGTAGGTTGTTGGAGACGTAGTATCAAAGCTTTACTCCGTTGTGAGATTGATAATGATTCATGATTTCAATAGGGCCGACTACGCGGAAGTAAATCGAGAACTGATCCCATATTACGCACAATTTCTTGCCGAACACTCCACAAGGACGGTCGAGTCCAACTGGTTGTTGTTTCGGAACAAATTGTATGATCTTATTGAGCGTTTTGTGCCATTGATTCGTATTCACAGTGACGCCTGTAATCCTTGGTTCAACAATGTTATTAGGTTTCTGGGGAACAAGAAAAAGCGTCTTTTCAGAAAAGCTAAACAGAACCAGTCTCCAATATCATGGGATTCCTACTATGATTGCCTTAAAGAGTATACCCTCCAGATTAAAGCGGCAAAAAACAAATATTTCGATAGAGACCTACCCACCCTCATGCAAACCAACCCCAAAAAATTCTGGACCCTTATTTCTCCAAGCGACCACTCCCGGTCTATTTGTTTGATTGATCCCAACGGCTGCCCTGTCCCTGAAGCTTCCTGCCCCTCAGTGATGAATGGGTACTTTGCTTCTGTTTTTACTTGCGAGGACCCTTCGAACATCCCTACTGTCCCACCAGCTCCTTATAACACCATGGCACCTATTATCATCTCCCCTGACGGCGTAGCCGGTCTTATAGATCGCCTTAAAGTTTCATCATCCCCCGGACCTGACAACATTTCTTCAAAAATCCTCATAAACAGAAAAGGCATATCAAGCGAGTACCTCACGCTCTTACATACCCAGTCATTGGCAGAGGGTCGTCTTCCTTCGGACTGGAAGGTAGGAAAAGTCATACCGGTCTTCAAGGACGGTGATCGATCATTACCCTCTAACTACAGACTATATCGTTAACTTCTATCCCATCCAAACTTCTAGAGCGTATAATTTTTTCTCATGTGGTGTCTAATCTTGATCAAAACCACTTCTTTCACGACCACCAACATGGCTTTCGTAGGGGTTTTTCTTGCGAGACCCAATTGTCACTGTTTACCCATGAAATTCATGCCAAACTGTTTACCCATGAAATTCATGCCAACTTCGAATCTCATCATCAGACCGACGCAATTTTTCTAGACTTTTCGAAAGCGTTTGATCGTGTTCCGCATCTTCGCTTACTAACAAAGCTCTCTACACTCAAAATAAACGTTAGCGTCGTTTCATGGATTCAAAATTTTCTTTCTTCACGAGTACAGTTTTCAGTTGTGAACAGTCATGAATCTGGTTTATGCAACGTTACGTCAGGTGTACCCCAGGGGTCGGTCCTCGGCCCTCTCCTCTTTCTAATATTTATTAATGATCTCCCTCAATCCATTTCCTCCAAAGTGCGTCTTTTCGCGGACGATTGTGTATTATACCGACCAATTGCTTCTACGGATGACCATGTGCTCCTTCAGAATGACTTGTCTGCCATAATGAATTGGTGTTCCGACTGGCAGATGAGCCTAAATTATTCAAAGTGCAAACTCGTATGTTTCACTCGCAGGCGCTCTGTTTCGTCATGCGTATATTCTCTTGGAACCCAACCTATCGAAGACGTCCCATCATACAAGTACCTTGGGGTACTCCTTACCTCCGACTTATCCCTGGGCCGCTCACATCAAATCCATTTTCCTCGCCGCATCAAAAACTTTGGGATACATCCGACGCTGCCTACACTCTGCTCCTCCGAATCTTCGTCTTTTAGCCTACCAGACATTCGTCCGACCAAAACTTGAGTACGCCGCCGCTATCTGAAGCCCTCACCAAATCTACCTTACCACCCAACTTGAAGCCATCCAAAATCGTGCCGCTCGCTACATACTCTCTGTATACGATCATACTGCTAGCGTTACGGCTCTAAAGTCCCAATTAAACCTAACTTCGTTATACTTCGTTTCAGCTTCCGTCCGAGCACAGCCAAAGCTACGTGTGGCCGGAGCCAATCACACGCCGGCAATCGGTCACGCGATCTTGCCTGCACTTTTGTACCTCTCCGCTGCGCCGCTGGTCATCCGCGCCGCCCGCGTTCGCCAAGTATTTCGTCTGCTACGGGTGTATCAACGGTATCGTCTGCTGCAGGTTTAAAAAGAGTCCTTTCACGTTCTGAAATTTAATCACAGGGAATGTCAGTGCGTAGTCTTGCCGCTGCCGTCTGTGTCCGAGCTTTCCACCTGTCTGGCATTTCGGTATAGTTTCGAGATGTAAGTACACATTGCCAGGTGCCCGATGACCCGGCCGTTGATGTTTCCTTGTAATGTCTGGATATACGAGGGCTCGAGGCGTAGTCCTTTTCACCATCTTCTCGGCGTTCAATGTGGTCACAAGGTAAACGTATGCCCTGATTTCGCCGCGTATCAGTGAATTGTAGTGGCCCGGATGCTTTTCTTGTTTACAACGCATTCGCGGTACGACGCGGCCGGAGTCTCCTGCCGAATTTGAAAGTAGACATTCATCACGACCGCTCGCGCCTGACGCCCAAACGTGCCTTTGCGAAAGGACGTTCTGAAGTGACTCGGTGAGGAAAGCAGCGAAGCACATGATTCGGCCATTATGGGAACGAAATGACACAGAAGAACCGAGCGCTGCAGCCGTGTTGCCAGCGGATGTACGCGTTTTCACCAAACCACATGCATTTACATATGCCAATAAAAACATAAACTTCAGATATTTAATTCCTTTCGTTGCAAATCATTCTCTGCAGTACACATCTCGAATGTTGTGCAATATTTACGCACAAAACAGTTATTTAAAAAAAAAGTACTTTTGCGGACTACTTTGTGGTGCGTAGGAATGCTCTTCTCGTTCTCGAAGTTGCGAACCGTCCCTCAGCCTTTGGCTGCGCTCGGACGGAAGCTGAAACGAAGTATAGCTACCGGCCGTAAATGCTCGCGTCTCTGTCTATTTCACAAAATATTCCACCATCATCCGGACATTAGATCGATGCTTTTACAACCTCCTCCCCGATCTTCTCGTAGATTAACGAACTCTAACTGGTGTGCAGCGCATCTCTGGGTCCACTAACGCATTTAATAACTCATTTTTTCCCTAGTGATTTCAGAATGAAATGTTCTACCTGAGTGCATTGCCTTAATAATATGCCCTGACGCTTTCCGTTCCTCATTAGTCTTGCATTTTCAAGGGAAATACTGACTGCCTGTTTGCTTTCTAATTTTTGGTTCTCTGGTTGATTATTATTGAGTGCGTGTTTGTTTATGAAATAATTGTTATTGTTTCATTGTGTTTTTTTTTTTGCTGTTTCATTGTTTCTTTCGTTGATTGACATGTGATTGATCCCCCCCTTATGTAATGTCCCCGAAAGGGGACCTTTAAGGGTAAATAAATGAATGAATGAGTGAACACGGCTGCATGAAGACACTGACAGAATGGTTGCATCGGAAGTATAGGAGCTGTTACCACATCCTCACATGCCGCAGTACTGATGGTACCGTCACTGGCGCCGCCGTTGTGCTGCCAAGGCGGAGCAATGTGCACCTCTTTTGGGCTTCCCGCGCCGCCTGTAGCTGCAAAAAACGTTTCCCGCAGAGCTTGTGTCCCTGCCATTTCCAAGCTCTGATGGGTGTCTGTCAATGATCAAGGGGTATTAGCATCAAGCATTGGGTTCACTGTTGTCTCGTAATCACCAGAGAAAGTGAATGCTCCCATCCTTCTTTACAACCAGAACAACTAGTCTTGCAAATTTGGCTCTTCGTGATGGATGCAACGATGCTCGTAGACCCCATTCTTTTTCATCTCTTTTCTACAGCGAAAACAAGCACAAAATGTATATTTTGTGCCTTTAGAGACTAGATAAGCATCTTTTCTTTTTCAAAAACAGTTTTTTTATACTTTTGAGCTTTCTTTTTAAAAAGCTGACTGCACTTGCACAAAAGTTGACTTAGCTTGGCATGAGCTTCCTTGTAAGTTGTTTTGGGCATCAAGGATAGGTTGTTCCATGTGAAGGTAGCGTTCCAGTTCAAATGCAGATGGTGAAGCCATGTTGGCCCAGAAGAGGTTGTCGATTCACACGTTGTGCTAGACGTTAAGGTTAATTACTTTTGTTGGTTGGATGAAAGCACCCGTGTATGTCTGCAGGCGCAAGTTTGTCGCTTGGAGCTGGAGCGAACGAAAAAACTGTTGTTGTTGCTTTGCGGATATTACAGACACCACTGCTCTTATGTCAAGTTACATTTCCACCAGCGTTTTGTTGATAGTGTCGTGGACATTAATCGGTTTCTGTAGCCTACAACCGACGCTGTTCAGGGACACACCCGTTTCTTCAGTAAGAACTCTACTGAACATGCTCCTTCTTTTCACACTAAAAGCAATGTGCTGACCTGCATATGTAAGCTTTACCCATGTGCCTCAGCGAGCAACATCGAAAGTTAATCTTTAAAGGCGGCCTTCTGTCAGTGCCGTTGAAACATGCTTTTGCAGCAGTTTCTGTGTCTCATTATATTTGTGCACTTCTGGTATTTGTTCTTCTGTAGCCTGCCCTTCTGTCACGCTTTTTATTGTGGCCCTCGTTGCGAAAGCTTTTTTGACAGGCTTTTCGAATGTAAGTTTCTTGTCTTCAGCAAACAACACTCATTGTATGGCCACTCTTTGTAATCTGCAAACAAACCTATCTTGCAAAGTTTCTTCCAAAAATCCTTTGAGGTCACACGACCGCAAGAGCTTACGCAATTCTGCGGCGAAGTCGGCAACGGATTCAATTTCAAGTTCTGAAACATTGATAAAAGATGGCTCGCTCACCAATTATCGATGCTTTGGGTGCCAAGTGGATGCCAAGTATATCCTCCTCAGCTCTTTGAATGTCTTGCGCAAAGGCAGATTGGTACAACCAGAGATTTGAGCAAGCCGTGCAACTTTTTTGCCCTATCAAACAAGAGGGCTTGAGCTTTGTCGTCCTCTGAGACTTTGTTGAAAGAAAGAAACAAAGTCAAACCTCTCCCGCAAAAAACCCAGTCGCTAGACAAGTCGTCGAGTGGTTCTATGTTTCCAAGTCGCCTCACCCCTTGCATTTCTGCCGTTTCCACTCTTGGTGGTCCCAGCAGCTTCTAGTCCAACAGCGGCAAGTCCACTACCCGAGTAGCGAGAAATAGGAAGACAAGGTGAACCAGTACCTTCTCCCAGCTTTACAGCAGCATTGCCGCCCCTACTTTATTTTTGTTGCTAGTTGTAGTCTTGAGGACCAATGAACATAGAAAGCAGCCACCATTTTACTGCCACATAAAAAGAGTGGCAGGTTCAAGAACCAGGACTGAAAATAAGGACATGAAACCAGAGTGCATGGAGTAGTCAGCACTGCACATACAGTACAAATGTCTAAAAAAAAAAAATTATAAGGAAGAAGAGACCAGAGTGCACTGACTTTTACAGGGTCTGGGCTCGATTGTGTGATCTGCCGGTGCCTTGAGAGTGATGTCTTTGGGTCATCGTGCATCGATTACGTGACACTTTCTTCTTTCTCTCTGAAGTTGTCAGTGTGACAGGGAAGGAGACCCTATATACTACCACTTGTGGGGAAAATGATCTGCAGTGCTCACAAGAGGGACGAGTTTTAATGAGTCCTTGGATTGGGCTCGCTTACCCATGGCTAAAATAGGAAAGTTCTCCTTTCCCTTAAAAATGGCATATTTTCCTTTGTTGGAACAATTGCGAGGCGCACAACTTGTGCCATGTATTGGGAAATATGACATTAGACATATAGTATGAGTTGGCTCAGCCATTTTGGACTTTGGCCTCAAGCATATATTTTGCAATTTATTTGGTTTGATTAATAGTTCCACATTGTAGGCCCATGGCTGTTAGGAACAATAAATAAGTGAATAGTGTAGTGTAAAGTTGAAATCAAGTTTGTTTCTCTTCCTTGAAGATGGACATGCATTTTCACTTTCAGTTCACCATAACATTTATTCTGTGTAGTACTGCTTTTACCCATGTCAAACCCTACCTTTGGATATGCCTTTCTTTTTAGGATCTCCATTTCTTTGGCCCTTCCCCTGCGACTCGGCTCCGAAGAGCACGGATGCTACATCATACGACGTCTGATCCCCTTGGCCGACAGTTGCAGGATGTGATCCTTGTGAATTATGGGGACTCTGAATGTCACTCTCTTTGTGCTACCTTTTGTGCCCATGGTGTATCCTGGTTTCGTGGTTCCCTTGTGTTACTCTATTGCCAATTGTTTTTAAAGTTAAACATTGTAACAATGTCTAATACATTATATATATGTGTTTTGAAGATATGGACTGCATGATGTACTGCACTTCCCTGGATGTACATATTCATGCAGTTTGTTTGGACACACTCATGATATGTTTTTGTTAGTACTGTACAAAGCAAATCAGTGTTTATTGTTGGGATAAATGTGCAGATGTATAACTTTAACCAAACAGGGAGTTGTAATGAGAAGCCATAAATGGTTGCAGGGAAGTGATTCATACATCAAAATTTTCTAGATGTCAATTTAATAGTGTTAATGACTGTGGGCAGTGATAAATATTTTATCTGTCTTGCATATTTTATGTGCTTGTTTAAACACTTTGTTCAGTGGTTTGTTATGTGTTGTCATTAATTTATTAAACCTGCTACAAATGATTTTTGATGTATGGAATATGCATGAGATACCCTAATACTACATATATTCAGAGTGGGTGTATATATTGGTAATCCACATCAGGTGGTTATTGAAGGTATGGAATACTGAATGAGCTTCCTTGGATTGTACTTTTGCAAAAGACCACAATTTTTAAGAGTCGAAGCACTTTGCCCTTTGACTGCCAAAGATAAGCCCTTCTTACTCACTACTGGTAGGCATAGTACTTTGAGTTATAGGAAAGCTTCTAACACAAAGCCAGAACTCCAGGTACTCAATTTGTTATGCTCCTTGAATATGCAAGCAAAAGGGCCTGCCAGAGCCACAAGCATGTACTTACCATCTTGTGCTCAAGGTTAACTGACAGACTGAACAGAATACAGCTGAAATAGTCGTTCTAAAGGCTGACCTGCAAGCAGTGAGCAGCAGCATACCTTTTTTTGTGCTCTGGATAAGTGTTTTACTGTTTGAATAATTTTGTAAGGGTCGTAAGGAAAAATTTTAGCACAGTGTTATACATAACTGCATGAAAGCAGAAATCTAGGTTGTCTGTCTTTCTACCTGATTTTGTCTTTTGATTAGTGTGTGTTTGAAGTCTTGTTATTTCTCTCAGTCTTCAGTGAAGAATTTAAAGAGAGGCATACCTGTGATGATAAATTTGTAACAGGATTTTTGAATGAACCAGCTTGCTAAAGAAACAAACAAGCCAAAAATTAGTTATGTTGTCCTGTTGATGCCTTTTATTTCAAAAATAGACATGCTCTATTTTGTTAATTTTTATGGTCTCTCCCTACCTGGTGAACTATTAATTTGAAGGATTTGGGGACAATTTGTGGACAAGTAGGCACAAGTTTTCTTTTGTGAGGGAAGAACAGATGTCTGGTTTTTGCTTCCTTTCAGCCTGGCTTATATCATTATGACGCTTTCTTCACACCACTTCTGTTTTTAAATATACATATTTTAACATATACCAATAATTTTTTTTTTTTGGAAGTGCTACCTTTAAAAATGGCTGTCTTGCCATTTTTAATGCTCCTTTGAGGTGAAGATTCTGCAGCCTTTTTTTGTCTTCGCTGGGACCGGAACACATAAACAGTTTTCGATTTTTATATGTGGAACAGTTTACAGGTCATGTTCTGAATAGGAGCTTGACAGTTATTTTTTGTCCGAAATGCGCTCGAAGCAGAAATTCTGTAGTCATGGCTCACTGTTCCGTTCACGGGACAGGCTAAAGAGTTCACTTTGCTTGACTACTGCATAAAGTTGGCCAAAGTTCAGTCCTGGGGAACAGGGATCTATGTAGCAATGAAAGTGGTGACCGGTTTGCTTTGGTGTTTCATTGAAGTGCTCCAATAGGTGCGAGTCTATATAAAAATTGCAATAATCAGAAACCTGCTAAGCTTTATGTTTCTGGAAGCTGGAAAACAAAATTATTGACTTCATGGTAAAGGACGTTGAGTTCCAATTTGATGCGATATGGTTGCACATGGAACCCAGCTAAGCTATTTGTTTGTTTCTGTGGCAAAATATATATATTATTTTTTGCCTTCAAGCAATCTTGAAATAGGAGGAAGCTACCTTTAGACATAATGGAAAAGTAAAACACCCACCAGTTTGCAAGAGGGTTTTATCAGCAGACAGAAGCCCAAATAAAATGGAGAAAATGTAAAAAAAAGAAGCCTTTTTAAATAAGTATTAATGTTAGGCGACAAGGCATTGTGAGCTACCAGAATCTATTGAGTCAATAGGAAGATGTTGCAGCATTTGGCATTTGGATAACAATAATCTTACTCTGATGTACTAGGCTCTGTGCTTTGTGTACCATCCAGACATATAAATATTCCTGGGGCCCTAAACTCGTCGAACACAAAGTTGAAGCTGAAAGTTCGCGGAGAGCGCCTATTAGACGTCGGCGACAAAAGCGCCGAGTCATCGTCGTGGTAGTCCAATCGGCGCGCTCCGTGAACTTCGGCCCCAACTTTGTGTTTGACGAGTTTAGAGCCCCTGATCGAGAAAACCCCCTCACCAGATAACCTTTTTCTTCAGGTTTCTGAAATTGTTTACTCTTAAAACTGTAATTAGTATATTTCAGCAAAACTGCTCGGCTGTAGTGGTAAAGGGCCCTATCTTAACTGTGGGCATTGATTCGTCTTCCACCTTTTCAATACTGAAAATGCATCAGATCTACATATTTTATCAATTTAAAGTGTGGTCATGTTTCCTTTTGGTTTTCGAGGGAATGTACATTAAACTTACCGCAGAAATAAAAAATCTGAATGTTACCAAAGAAAAGAAAAATACATATAAAAAATTTTTGTTGCATTCCTTCAGTTATTACTGAATTTTAGGAATGAAGCTAGCAGTTCTTACAAAGGTGCCTTTAGATGGTAAGATAAAGGTACATAGAAACAGACAGAAACGGCAACCATTTTATTCCATATGCCGCCGAGTCCGCCGTCTGGACTTCGAAGTGGCACTTGCAGTACTAGTGTTCAGTTCGATGACGTAAAATTTTTGTGTTTTAAGGTTGTACTAATGACAGTAAAATTAAGAACTGGAGTGCACACAGAAGCTCATTGTTTCTTTTCTGCACCCTGTGGAAACGGTTTCCATTAGGCTTTTCTTTGATCATTGTTATAATTGGGTGTGGACGCCTATGAACTATTTGCTTGTGTTTACTTACTGCGGCTCACTGTAGAAATGCAACTTGTTCCGGTAACAATGTTTGACTGGCTAGTTAAGCTATTAGTGTTGGCCTTATTAGCTAAAGTTCTACATTTTATCTTTAGGCCCGAGTGAAATATATTTACCTAATATATTTAATATATTAAGCTGTGTGGCTTGGCTCTGAACCACTGCTTCATTATTTTGAAATAGTTACACCATTTTTCTTCCGTTAGGCACTGCAAGTGTCTATCCGAGCGAAGCTTTGCTGCACTCATACTTGTCTGCTTCGCTTATGTTCAGATTTGAAGGTGTCATCTTATTGTGAATGTTTGTATGCTCTCCCGAATGTTGTGGGTGACGTTACAATTGTTGTGGCCAGCAGCAAATTTTGTTCTTCATGAAATTCATGTGCTTAGTGTCCTGCGTAACAAACTTTCAAGTCTGCAAAATGGAAATTTGATGCAGGCATGGTTCATGCAGGATTTTCTTACGAACAGTTTTAAATGATTTGTAAACAACTTTATAGCTATGTTCAGTCATGGCAAAGATTAAGAATACTTTGAAAAAGAGCTGAAAGCTAGCTATATAGCCAAGTGTTTATAAAAGTATGATCAGAGATTTTATTAAATTTTGTGAAGCTTTCTAGCAAATTATGTGGCTTGTGATAACCCGTGGTTCTCTTGCAACAAGAGAGCCCAACGCTAATTTCCGTATTTCCTGACATTTACTTTTATATTTGCTGATATACTTTTTGCATCTTCAGGACATGTTAAGTCGTTTTAACCACTTGACATCGAAACCGTGCAATGTACTGTGAAGACAGAAATCATTTTCGCGGACTATATAAGCACATTTTAAAGGTTAAAATAGAATGTTATTCAGAAATAATATTTTGTTTTGTGGATTTCGCTTTTCACAGTCCAGTAAAGAGAAGCAAATAATGAAAGGACTGCCATGGAGTTTACTGTATTATCAATCCTCACCCAATGACATGTGTCGGCTGGAAATAATTAGGCTGTTTAAAGCACATGTTTTCTGTTCGTTCTCGAGTAATAAATGTAAGTGATATATTATACTGTCAATGAAATTAAAAGGGTAAGCTTTAGAGCGTATGTTATTGCAAAATATTTCGCAATGCATAAACTCGAAATGGTTAAACTTGTGGTCGAGAGTATCAGCTAGACCCCTGATGCTGTTAGGGACGCAAAATATTCATTTCGATTCACGTGGAACTTTTTTTTTTTTTTTTTTTTTTATATAACTAGCGAGTTTTTTAGGTGTGGAATGTGGAGGTCGATGGACAGCCAGCCGGTTTTGTGCTGCGGTGCGTATAGTATCGAACTTGCAATGTATACAGTCAAACATATGTAATATGGCATCTTTCGTTTGCCAAATAAACTATTTTCCACACTGATATTGACTGGTAGAGAGCTCCCTGTAAACACTGCTGAAGCGCCGTTTTTTTTTCGTGATGTGTTGAAGTGTAATAATGGCTATCGCTATGCTCATTATAAATGGAGGCCGAGTCTAAAGGTAGGTTGCACTAATGTCATCTGGTCTGCTGTGCTGGTTGTCTCGAACCTCCAAGGAGTGTTTCCCTCGCCGCAGTTATCTGACATCTAGCTGGTGCTTCGGGGCAAGCAATTGTAGAAATGGGCGGCAAAGAAAAGCTCACCGGAGAAAAGTTCAACGGAGTAAAAATCACTCGAGAAAAGCTCACCGCAAAACCGACACATGCGGAGAAAAGCTCACCGGCCTTTTAGCGGTTGCGAAAAAAAGCTCACCGATTGTTTTCTAAATTTTTCCTTAGCTTAGCAGATTCTGCGTCACAAGGGGCAATTCAGCACAATTCGAATTCGTCACTTCATTAAAAATGTCATTTTTTGTAATATTCTTGAAGTTCATTGGGCATAATTATTAATTCCTTAGAAATTAGTAATCACCAATACTGTATATTACTGAAGCCGCAAGTATAAAATGAAAACATTTGACACCGGTAAAAAGAACAACAATTTATTGACAGCTGACTGTGCGCCGTCGTTAGCTAACTAAAAATAAAGAGGTTTGTTTGCAAGCTAATATGTATAGCGGTGTGTGAACCGCTTCAGCTCCAAAGGTTGTGTAGTGTTTGATAGATAAGTATGTTTGTTGACGTAATCAGTGGCGGCTACGCTGTTTTCTTTCTGTTAATTTCACTAACAAAACTTTAGTTGCGAGTGTAGCTCCGTCCTGTCGTGTTTGTTGTCTTTACTCCGTCGTCGTCGTTTGAGCGGTTTTCATCATATATAACGTTTACCAACTCACCTAATTCGCTACATTACGGAATAATAGTTCTTATATAGGTCACGAGTAACACGGCAACAGTGTGCAGCTCTGAAGGTCCTGGGTGGCTCGCCGTAGAAGGACACTATCACACAAATGCAACGTGTGGAAACACCAGCACAAACGGCAAGAAAATGTGCATGTCCGTAGAAGAAAAAACCTCGATATCCTACTGACTATTTTATCCTGTTTTCAAAGGTTAACAGAAGCTTCAAAGAGAATTTTAGGCACCGCATTGTTGCGCGTGCACATTATTAAGTTTTCGACTTTTTTCCTGTTCAAGTTCATAAAGTTGTCAGGCTTTCGTTGCCTAGAAAGTAAACCCCAGAAAACACTGGCCCACAATTATAAATTTGGGAGCAATATACCCAATAAGCTTAACAAATAATTAAAAAAGGACATGTTGTTTTACAAGGTTGACGAATTTTAATAATAATAAATGACATATGTTACTCATGATCCAACAGCCTCCATATGAAAAGAAGAAAAAAAAATAGTGAGCTTTTCTCCGCATCCGCTGGTTTTGCGATGAGCCTTTCTCCGGTGAGCTTATCTCCGGTGAGCTTTTCTCCAAGTATTCTGTCAAAATAGCCATCAGGGACCCTAATCTACACGGTGGGACCAAGCGGGACGGGGGGGGGGGGGACATTGCCGCCTTCTACGATTGGCCAGCTCCGTACCGTCGTCCAATCGCAGAAGGCCGTGATGTCCCTTGGTCCCGCCGTGTAGAATCAACCCCACACTGCCTAGTGACGACATGGGGGAGTCATGTATTAGTTCAAAACATCAATCAATTATTGTCCTCGTACTGCTTTTCATTAATATTCTTAGACACAGCAATTGAGTTTACGCGACCCTTAATTTGTATGGCAGCTTGTTTGTAAAGTTTCAGACCGAGTTCATGTATGACTTTGTTTTGGACGTCTAAACACCATGTTGTTCATTTTAACGGTAAAACATAAACATAGCGTGTGCACGAACTGGTGCTAGCTGCGGAGCTGGCGTTCGCATCTTAGCCATCTTGGCAGTTTCCACCAGCTTGGCGCCTCCAAGTTATGGACGAACACATGGCAGTAAAAAAGCGCGGAAATAATTCTTCGGATTTTTTTTTACTTTTTTGTACGATTATACGCCAATAAAATGAGAAGTTGAAGACACGCCTTCGTGGGAAATGAGGATTGCAGAGCATCCTCTTCCCCGAATAGAAAAGGGTGCACGACAGGTGGGTGCCGCGCAAGCTCCTCTTTCTAGTTCACTTCCAAGTTGTTGTTTTTTTTTGCAGCCGCAGGAAGGTTTTTAGGGTAAGTGTTCATGACAAACGCTTCTAAGGCAGTCCGGACTAACGGTGACACGTTCAGATAGCGGGGTCTATGAACGAACGAGCGACTCTTTGGTCCCGTGTATGCGTGAAAAGGTATGAATTTGGGTCACGCGGTAATTTCCATCGCTGTTCGTGTTAGCCATCTATCTCGCTTCGGCGTTTAGCGATCTGTAACGTCCGATGGAACTTGCAACACAACTACGTTCGACGCTAAATCCTTAACATCATTCTGCAATTAAACGGAATCCCGTTCATTGGACGATTTTGCATGCAGCAAGCACGTACAATGCAGAATTTATGTGCAATCAATGGCGGAAATTGCCGGGTGTGCACAATCCCCCCCCCCCCCCCCCCCCCCAAAAAAAAAAGTTACTGCAAAAGTAAATTATGCGATGCCGAGTGGTCATTCTTCGCCCGAACGTAGCTCTACAAGTATGAATATGACACCAAAGTTTCAAAACTAACCGTTATTTTCATTAAAAGTTATGAATAATTTTCTAAAATTTCAATGGGAAAGGGGGCCCATTTTCACCAGTTTTCGGTAACCGGCGCCATAGAGCTTTATGTGTTCGAGAGCTCTGTCGGCTGCCATTTTCCCATTGAAGATTTCAGAAAATCCCTCATAAGTTTTGAATAATATAACGGTTACTTCTAAAACCGGCATCTGGTTCGGGCCTCTAGCGCTACATTTGGGCAGGAAATGAGCGGTCGGCGATGTGTAATTTATATTTGTGAATTAAAATAAAAGGATAGTTTTTTTGGCATTTTGTACTATTGTAGTTGTGATTAAAAATACGAAAAACGAACATATAAACGTCCTAGGCACACTCCGCGACACTACTAGCGCGGACAGAACTTGGGCGTATTTTCGTATTTTATTTTGAAAGGGCACTGGACGGCATCAAACATTGCTGCTTAGGTCAGCATTCCAACTGAGCACTTTCCAACAATTGATAGTTTTGGTGACAGTCATTCAATACTGAAAGAAAAACAAATCCGACAATCGCTTGATCGGACTGACAGTGGGACAGAGTGTAGCACGTAATTAATCCCCCCCCCCCTCTTCCTTTATTTCCTCATTCGATGATGCTTCTCCGCGTAGGGAGTCGCCTTGCGGTAGAGCACCCAGGGGCCTTGGTTACGTCGGATGCTTTTGCAGGGGGAGGGGACGTCCACTTTGGTTCGCTGCACATCGGAGAACTTACGAGGCGGCGATTGCCTGCTCAAAAATGAAACAAACATGCATATGCCAAAACACAGAAGTGCGAAAGTGTGCAGGGCGTCTAATTCAATCTAAGATGCTTCTCCACACATGGAGTCGCCTTGCTGTAGAGCACCCTTTACAGGGGCCCTGGTTACCTCGGATGCTTTTGCAGGGGGAGGGGACGTCTTCTTTGGTTCGCTGCACTTCGGAGAACTTACGAGGCGGCGATTGCCTGCTCAAAAATGAAACAAACATGCATATGCCAAAGCACAGAAGTGCGAAAGTGTGCAGGACGTCTAATTCATTCAAAGATGCTTCTCCACACATGGAGTCGCGTTGCTGTAGAGCACCCTTTACAGGGGCCCTGGTTACCTCGGATGCTTTTGCAGGGGGAGGGGACGTCTTCTTTGGTTCGCTGCACTTCGGAGAACTTACGAGGCTGCGATTGCCTGCTCAAAAATGAAACAAACATGCATATGCCAAAGCACAGAAGTGCGAAAGTGTGCAGGGCGTCTAATTCATTCAAAGATGCTTCTCCACACATGGAGTCGCGTTGCTGTAGAGCACCCTTTACAGGGGCCCTGGTTACCTCGGATGCTTTTGCAGGGGGAGGGGACGTCTTCTTTGGTTCGCTGCACTTCGGAGAGCTTACGAGGCGGCGATTGCCTGCTCAAAAATGAAACAAACATGCATATGCCAAAGCACAGAAGTGCGAAAGTGTGCAGGGCGTCTAATTCATTCAAAGATGCTTCTCCACACATGGAGTCGCGTTGCTGTAGAGCACCCTTTACAGGGGCCCTGGTTACCTCGGATGCTTTTGCAGGGGGAGGGGACGTCTTCTTTGGTTCGCTGCACTTCGGAGAACTTACGAGGCGGCGATTGCCTGCTCAAAAATGAAACAAACATGCATATGCCAAAGCACAGAAGTGCGAAAGTGTGCAGGGCGTCTAATTCATTCAAAGATGCTTCTCCACACATGGAGTCGCGTTGCTGTAGAGCACCCTTTACAGGGGCCCTGGTTACCTCGGATGCTTTTGCAGGGGGAGGGGACGTCTTCGGTTCGCTGCACTTCGGAGAACTTACGAGGCGGCGATTGCCTGCTCAAAAATGAAACAAACATGCATATGCCAAAACACAGAAGTGCGAAAGTGTGCAGGGCGTCTAATTCATTCAAAGATGCTTCTCCACACATGGAGTCGCGTTGCTGTAGAGCACCCTTTACAGGGGCCCTGGTTACCTCGGATGCTTTTGCAGGGGGAGGGGACGTCTTTGGTTCGCTGCACTTCGGAGAGCTTACGAGGCGGCGATTGCCTGCTCAAAAATGAAACAAACATGCATATGCCAAAGCACAGAAGTGCGAAAGTGTGCAGGGCGTCTAATTCATTCAAAGATGCTTCTCCACACATGGAGTCGCGTTGCTGTAGAGCACCCTTTACAGGGGCCCTGGTTACCTCGGATGCTTTTGCAGGGGGAGGGGACGTCTTCTTTGGTTCGCTGCACTTCGGAGAACTTACGAGGCGGCGATTGCCTGCTCAAAAATGAAACAAACATGCATATGCCAAAGCAC